CAGGCGGACTGGCTGCCTCGTGGCGAGGACCGCCGCTTGCTTGGAAGGGGTTCCCGCCGGCACCTGAGGGAAATTGGCTTTGACCGACAGGCCCGAATTTCTCTTTCCTTCCCGCCGGTTCGTTCAGGAAGACCGTCTGGGCCGCGAACCAGCTGTGCCTCAGGCTTAGTTCTTGGATGGAAATATTAAGCCTGGTGGGGAAATAGCAAAGGAGGTCACAGGATGCGGATCCCGCTGTTGGTGGCCATTTATTTTGTTATATTTTTATCCCACTTTTATTACTTTATAAGTAATTCAGGTCTGCAAGCATACATCATACTCCTCCCTCCCATTTTCCCCACAACCACCACCCTGTGGGTTGGGGAAGTCACTAGCCCGGGGGTCTTCAAACTTGGCTCTTTTATGACTTGTGGACTTCAACTCCCAGAATTCCTCAGCCAGCCTGCCTGGCTGAGGAATTCTGGAAGTTGAAGCCCACAAGTCATAAAAGGGTCAAGTTTGAAGACCCCTGCACTAGCCCAAAGCAGGCGTGGTCTCCAGTTTCTAGGCCAGCACCTTTATTGCTACACCCAATTTGCTCTTCGTATTTCTGTTGGACACCTGGAGCACTGCGTTGCTCTTTCTTTCTTGCTTTGTTTTTAACAATAGTAGCTTGGAGTGGTGCAGCACATTAATGTAATATATTGAATTTCCTTGAACCAGGCTATTGGGCTACTTCAGTTATCCATGGTGGGTGGTGGGAAAACAGCCAGGGAAAGAGCACTGCAATGTGGTCTATTTGGTCTTGGCTTAGCCTGTTGGAAAAAGTGGGATACTAATATACACACTGTAGTTTTTTTCAATATGCCATGTATATATACGAAGTTGGTAAGGCTTCATTCACACAATGCACTGAGCCAGTATTTCTTAAAACATTTTGCTTTCAGGATTCCTTCCCACTTTTAAAAATTCTGGAGGCATCCAAAACAGATTTTGTTCATATAGGTTATATTTATCAATATTTACTATATTAAAAATTAAGATTGATGCATTTACAGAATATTGATTTATTGAATCCAATTCAATTCAGTATATTGTCATAAACCAGTACAGATGATAAAATGAAATTTAAAAGAATTAAAATACATTTGTAAAACTAACATCTATTAAGTGAGCTCCAGGATATAGCCTATATTAAAGCATAATGTAAAATTTAGTAAATCATGTAAAAATAACTATTAAATCAATTAGATATTAACAAATATTTTTAATGAAGAAAACCTATATTTTTTACAAATTAACAGTAGAAAAAAATGTTTTAAATGTTTGCAAATATGTTTAATACCTGGCAAATGATTTTGAGGACCCCCAGAGGTCTCAAGGTTTTTATATAGAATAGAACTGGGAGGGACCTTGGAGGTCTTCTAGTCCAGCCCCCCGCTTAAGCAGGAGAACCTATACCATCTCAGACAGGTCTTTTCTTAAAGATCTCCAGTGCTGGGGCACCCACGATTTCTGGGGGTAAGTTGTTCCACTGGTTGATTGTCCTCACTGTCAGGAAGTTTCTCCTTAAATCCAGGTTGCTTCTCTTCTTGATCAGTTTCCAACCATTGTTTCTTGCTATTATTCTATTATAAGTCCCCAGAGTCTGATCATGAGATGTGCAGCAAATAAATTTAATAAATATAAAAAAATGGCTTAGTATTACAAACCCACTCACTCATGCTATATTCAATAAATTATATAAGCAAATCATTGCAGCAAAAGGAAGCTAATTCCACAGAACATAAACAGACCAAGCACTTTTTTCAGGTATCCAGAAAGTCCCAAACACTTGGGGACAGTTGAATTTAACTCCTGAGAAATTGTAAATCCATTTTCAAACTATATCAAACAAGATGTAGGACAGTGTTTCTTGACTGTGGCCATAATAAAGATGTGTGGACCTACAGTAAGCTCCCAGTGCTGGCTGGGGAATCCACTTTAAGGCCAAGGCTGAGAAATATTGATGTAAAGAATATCTTGTACTTCTACAAACTTGGCCCTTTCCTAGAATTGCCCCCAAATGGTAGCATGAGGTCTGGTCATAGATTGGCAACGGATAGATAGCTACTTAGTGGGTTACTGTGAACTAGAAAAACTGAACTAATTCATTTATTCAGTGTCCATGTATTGTGAATACATCTAGAAAGCAATTTCTATAAGAAGGCAGCTATTACAGGTGTACTACTACATAGAAAACTAGAACTGCATAGAACTACTGTAATTTTTAAAAATAGTTTTGTATTAATTTTTATATTTAACAGAATGAATAAAGACTGATATTTTGTAGCCTAAACAATGAACAAAACTACAAGCCTAAAAAAATTGCAGATTCACAGTTAAAATACTGCCCCACTTATTGTGGCATAAATTTATGGCTTCAAGACAGGAATATTGAGTTTTCTTATAGTTTGTATGTTTCCAATCAGGTGATGCCGTAAGCAAATCACAGGGGTTCATATGTTGCCGCAAAGGAATTAGAAGATTGAAAATATAAGAAAGCAGCCTCATCAGGTGTATCTTCTACTTAACAAACTATAAGCCACTGGAAGAAGCTGGCACATGAAATGGTGAGTTCCACTTTGCTAGAGGCCTTCAAATAGAGCAGTGGTGGCGAACCTATGGCACGCGTGCCAGAGGTGGCACTCAGAGCCCTCTCTGTGGGCACACGTGCCATTGCCTCAGCCTCACCTTCCCCCACGACCCCCTCACCAGCAGCCCCCCTGGAGGAGAGTCGCCCCCGAACGTGGCCCACATGGAACAGCACAGCCAAGGACATGGCAGCCAGGCAGCGTAGACAAGACTCTGCCCTCACGCCCCATCCCGCAGAGTTGATTGTGCGGGGTGTGGGCAGAGGGTGTGGCCACCATGGCGCTGCTGGGCTGCCTGGGTGATCTGCGGCAGGTGAGTGGCCCTCCGGGCAGGTGGGATGGGGGACGAGGTAGGAGCAGGATAGGGGCGGGGCCAGTTTTTGTGCACTCAGTCTCTAAATGGTTCGCCATCACTGAAATAGAGGCTATCAGGGATATTTAAATGGATCATGCACTGAGCAGGAAGGAAGATTGAATGACCTCTCATTTTTCAAAAAAAAAAAATGCCTTAGATCTACTCTTTTCTGATGTGGCAGTATTTGTAAACAGTACTTGATTTGAATTAATGCTAATGCCAGCTTTTTATTGTTTTAGGGATTTCTGAGTAAAATTATCAAATTTAGCAGGATCAGTTTTATTCATTCCGTAAGTATTCCTTACTTGAGGTTCACTAATAATAATTGAAAATAGGAGGAATGTAGAAATGTGAAGGTTGAGGGGAAAACATTAAAGTACATATCTTTCCTGGATTTTTTTTTCCCCTTCTCCCACGTTGAATTTTTTTAAAAAAAGTTAGGAATTATCTAAATAATTTTATTTTAAATTTAAATATAAAGAAGGAGCCAGGATAATTGTATGGTAAATCAAACTTACATATACTGCACTGCAGGCTCTTAAAATTGCAAAATTAACTAAGATCTATAAAGGGTTCCATTTTTAGCACACATACTCCTTTTCTCTAAAATTTCTGAAAATTCCGGAGGCAAGTAATTTCAATAGAAGTACTTCCACCTACTCAAGAATCTGCAAGAGGTTTACAAGGATTGCAATAAACTCTGCCCCAGAATAGGGTCCTCCAAAACAATAGCAAAACAATTCCACACTGCTTTTCTCACCAGCAATCAAGCTTGGTTTGAGAGCATCATTTTTTTTACCTACTCCTCCACATGGCAGAGCAAGCTGCAATTAAGCATTTCTAAATGGATTGGAAAGAAAGGTTCCCCATTGTTTTGGGTGTGGAAGGAAAAGGATGCTTCAAATGTGTAGGGATGTACTTATAGTAAGTACCTCTAATCACATGTACTCCTAGGACCATGCTGCAGCTGGCTGAGAAAAGACAATACTTTAAAGGGACAATTATTGAAAGGAACAATTAAATCCTCTTTAAATCCAAAGTTCTGCAGAGCCTCAAGGGTGAATGTATGAACAAGATCAACTTCATGCTCAGAAGACTAACCAAGAATCTTTATAAGCTACAGAGCCCGTAGCAAAAAAAGCTAAGTACAGTCAGGTTGATAAACAGGAGACTAGTAGGTAATGCCAAGCTGTGTGCTAGACTGGAAAGTTGTTAGCGTATTGCAGTGTTTCTCAACCTCGACAATTTTAAGGCATGTGGACTTCAACTCCCAGAATTCCACAGCCAGCATTGCTGGCTGTGGAATTCTGGGAGTTGAAGTCCACGTGCCTTAAAATTGTCAAGGTTGAGAAACACTGGCATATTGGAAGTAAGCAATAGCAAGCCACTTTGCCTGTTGCTAAAAATGATTTACAATCCCATCAAATTGAAGGGAAATTTTACTTTTCCTGAAGTAAGATTGTTACATATATACATTGCAGCAATGTCTTGGAAACATTTCTATTGACTAAATGGCAATAATATAAATGACAAAGATACTACAATTCAATTTCTATTTATAAATCGGCCCCACTCAGTCACATCTAGGCAATAAAGGCGTTATTTTATTTCAGGGGTCACCAATCTTTTTGGTTCTGTGGACTGGCGACGGTGGCTTCAGTGATTTCAGAGGTGGGGGGGAATGGTTTCACACGTGCAATCTCAATCACGCACATACACAAATGAAGTTTTGCAAGCTCACCCACCACTTCAGCGGCCCAGTTCCCAAGGGGCCGCGCGGCACAGTAGCAGGCTGCAGCCGTGACCCTGGGGTTGGGGACCCCTGCTGTACTGCACTTTGAGTGCTACTTTCAAAGAGCTACCCTTCCAAATTGCAGCAAACATTCAGAAGTTCCAGAACTGTACATCAGCATCTAAAAATTGCCCAGGAAGACCAGCATTTAACTGTAGTCCCGCTTATCATTCATCATCTGCACAAAAGGGAAAACTGTTATTCTAAATACATATATTTATATGCTTGCGATGTTCCGTCATATTGTTATACAAGTTATTTTATTAAAAAAATAGGTACATGTTTCTGCCCAGAAATATATCAAATTACATATTTAAAGGTATATACCTTCAATTTTCATTCAAGTCAAACCACAGAATTTAAGATTAGGTGTCCTAGGTACAGGCCATGAGCAATACCCAGTTTACAGCTACTACTTTTTGGTAACATAGCCATTTTCAGTTCATAATCAATATATACTATTTACAATAAATAAATAAAATTGCTTTATATTAAAATTTTGAGAAGGAAAGTAATTTTACAATTTTAAGGGTGATCATCAGATTTCTACTTATACAAAGTCCATGGATCAAATAAATCCTTAAAAGACATTCTCAATTCACTATGGGCAAGAGGAAAATAAAATAGGAGGAATGAAGAGTCTCATGAAGAAGTAGGCTAGTTCAGGAAAACAATTTATCTACAACGTCATCCAGGTAAAAAGGGTAGGATTAATTACTAATACAAGCAAGTTCCCCTGAAAATGAAATAACAACATCCAGATGTGGGCTGTCAACTTGCAATTCATCATCACAGTATAATCTGAAAAGAACTTGTCAAAAATGCTCAAGTTTCATTCTTGTGGCAGGCTCATTTAAAAAGGAAGGAGCAAGGTATTAATAACAACACAAGCCCCAATCAGAGAAGTTGTAAAGTCACACATAAATCACTCAAAGGTAACAGAATGAACTATCTACTTACAAGCTGCATTTATGCAGATACTGAAAACTGGCTGCAAAGCAGATGAATTGTAATTCCTGCTTGAAAACTGTTTTAGGACAGGAGACTTTTAGCATTCTTTCTTTGGTTTTTGTTTTAATTATCTTCTCTCTTGTAGATAGATGTGCATCTGGATCCAAGTGCAATTCATGCAGAAACACTATTTTATCTGGCCAACCTAAAGATATATACCCTAATTTATTTATATAAGTATTTTATCTAGTGCTATAAAGTTGCAAAAACTTTCAGCAGTATCCCACATGCTCACAGCATGGGAGCAGTGTCTTCTGCTTATTTATTTTTTTAATTTCAGTTGAACTCTGTAAATGAAATCCAAACAGTTTCTTTGTGAAGTCAAACAATTTTCTTTTTAAAATGAGTTTCTTAATATCATTTATAAAATATGGAAGGTTAGGCTGAGAAGACGTGTACAATATTCATTTTAGTGTTATTGAAAATCTCAAGTATTAATACCCAGGGATCATTTAATTTTTTCTGTACTGTTTTTTCAAATGTAGAGGCAAACTGAAAATGGATTGAGAGCATTATCAGAGATTCTATCAAAAGGATTACATTTAATTTCAGAATGCTATATGTTTCAATGTATATTTGTGTTATAAACCCACCCATTCACCCATCTACTTTGAGAGAAGTTCAAAAGCTATTTATAATACAGCATGATTCAGAGGAAAAACATGAAATAATTAACAGGGCTAAACTAAATTATGTAAGAATCTAAGCACCACTTTTCATTCACTTTTCATTCTAGTTAAGGAACAATGTATCATAGATAGAGTATGAGCTATTTTCTATTACAAAAATCTGAAAGTAGTTACCCAATATACTAATCCATGAATGGGCTCTCAAAAACAGGCTCTGAATTGAGTTTCTACAGCACTGAATGATACATCATCCCTAACCACATTAGCAAATAAACATTTTCAATTCAATTACATGGAATGTAATTTGAAGTGTGCCTACAACTTATATTTTAGCTAAGGCAAATTGACATCTCCTAAAAAAAAGTTTCCTTAATTTAAAAAAGTGATCAAATTCTTAACGCTGGACACAAACATACAGTATTTTGGAACCATATAGATTTCAGTTAAGAAGACCATATACATTCTCACAAAATACATACAGAGTAAACTTTGCCAAGTTTTGTTGAATTCCTTCAATTTTTTGCTGTATTTTCATATATTAAAGAAAGCACTTTAAATGCTAGTGATTTCTCAAATATATTCTGAAACTTACTGTTCAATCTATTAAAACTGGAAAAAAAATCATCAGTCTTTAATTGAGGTGTAAAAATTGCCTCATAAATTCATAAGTGGTGAAGGCAACGGCTTGAGAAGGAATACAACGGATGTAATTCAATGATAATCCACGGTATAATCCCCTTCGTATTCCATGGTTTCCATAAACATATTTCAATGTTTGGACCATTGTACTAGAAAGAGAACAGAGTAAGTCTTTGTAAAACAAGAGATTTTCCAACACTTTACTTCAAATAGCATTTTAAAAAGCAGGGACTTTTGCCTTACCTAATGGGAAAATATAGAGATCCCCCTACTTTTATTCAGATAGAGGGCAGAGGTAATTTTATCATACAGAAGTAATGCTAAATTATTGCTAATGAGATTTAATTATTTTGCAAAATGTTTCTTTACATAAAAAAGAAAATACAGCCCAAAATCAAGATTTTTGATTCTATTATCTGAAAATCCAAATTCTACACTAATGAATATGAAGCTCAGTTCACAGGAAAATCTTCCACACAAGCTCACTGATGTGAGTAGAAACATTTTTAAAGTGAGAGATTGCAGTCTGTTGCAATTCTAATTGTACATTATAATAGGTAGACTTCCAAGAGATGCACAGTCTTGAGGCAAGACATTTAAATATAGAATAAATTCCATGTTTTGGAATCTGTTGTCATTTCGGAAAGAAATTTCAAGAAAACTTGTTTATAGTTTAGCTTTCTCCATATGGCATAGATACTAATGAACTGAAGGCTCATTTTCTTTTACACTGTGTCATTTCTGTGGATTTTAGGGTACATTTTACAGAAGGATTTAATTCCTTAGAAGGAATTTAATTCCTTAGAATGTTTTGTTTCCTTGCCTGCAGAACTTGGAAAAAATAGAATATTTTGCCCTATTTGGTTTTTGCAGTTCTGCATTTGTTAAATTTTTTCTTTTTAGGTGAAACTTTATTACAAATATAAGGTCACTTTACATGCTTCAACCTGATTACAAAAATAATAACTACAAAAAGCTGAAATACTGAAACAAATTAAATGACATTATTATAAAAAATCTTAAAGGAGTAGTTTTCAGTAGCTCATTTTTCACTTCCTTTCTATTGTTCTTAGCCACTAATCATTACTTAAATATTTCTCCTTTCATTGAAACATTGACCATTATTGCTTATATTTGTTCAAATCATTTCACGATGTTTTAAAATTAATTTCCAATTTGTTTATCTTGTTAATAACTGACAGAATTATATACCATCCGTAAAATATTTTACATCAATCTTCCCTCAAATTGTAGCTTGGAATAAATTACATTTTTCATAACATTGTTCCAATGTAATTAATTCTTTGACATTTTGCATGCTTTTTAAATTTATGTTCTCATTGTTTTTACTGTTTTATTACTTGTTCAACTGAGATTATATAATCACTGACCATTAAAACATTCTTCTCCTAATAAAATAAACCATTTGGGGCAATCAGCCTACAATTAGGCTGCCCGTGGGACACCTAAATGTTAACTCTGCATAAAATGTGAAATTAAGGCTGCCCAGTATTAATATTAACGTGGTGGTCTGTTGACATTTGTGTGACCACATTCTGAAATAATATCCCTTCATCCCTTTTTCGGGGAAAAGTAGCCTGATGACAGTAAGTACCAATGCTCACAGCCTCATCTGTTTTTTTTTTCTTGATTTTTCCCCCCTTTTTAAGAATCTGACTTGCTGCAAAGCATAGCATCTGCCTGTTTATGCTTTGAGCTCATATTTATTTGCATCCATGCTTTTAGGCCCAGAATAGACTCATAGGGTCAACAGAGATTTTGGAGAGAGGGAGCTACAATTTAACTTCTGATAGAAAGGAGTATTGTGGTTGACAATGCTACTGTGACAGCCACTTTATGAGCGCACACATTACACAATCTCAGCATTCCCAATCTAACTTCACTCCAAAGAATGGCTAATGCCAGTGCCAGCTTAATATTGCAACTTATGTCAGCTGAAATCCTCTATGTGTATATCAAAAATAACAACTAAAAGGAGCCTGACCTACTAGACATAGATTTTGAACTTAAATGCATTCCTCTTACTTTGAAGCTATAGCTTACTATGAAGCTTTAAATGCTATGCTTACCTTGCTAGTTATATACACGTGAACCAAAGAACAAAAAGACATTGTTAATGTTTTACAGACAGTATGATACAGTAGATAGCTGTTACTGCAGGCATATATTTGGTTCCAGAGATGAAACTTACCAACATTTTTCAGAATCAGGAAGTATGGCTCCCAACTGCATTCGTCTACGAGTGACATCTAGAGGGTATCTGGGGAAGGAAAAGGCATTTTCTTTAATTGCAGTTATCACAATGCAACTATTCACACTACAAAATAATAATTAAAAGACATTTACATAAAGAACATGTGGCAAATACAAAGCTGCCTTATATTGAGTCAAATTAGGAGCTGACTTTGGCAGCAGAAATTCTATGTCAAAGCCTAGTACCCAACACTTGTTTTTATTTTTTTTTAACAGCCATGTTGAAATATTTCAGATTGTATCTTTCTGCATATTAAGAATATAACTCGCTTAATGAGAAAAGCAATCCCAATTATTTCATTTTTATTAAACATCTATCTCACATTTCTACCAAAAGCAGTGCTAAAGTGGCTATCATAATGGGTAGAATACCAAACTGTAATTGAAAACAAACGAATTAGGAGAATCCATAAAATAAAAAAAATGCTAAGGCTTTTAGCATAAGATTTTAGAAAAGAGTTATGTTCACCGTATTCAAAATCAATCATATGCTTTAGCACAGTGTTTCTCAACCTTGACAATTTTAAGGCATGTGGACTTCAACTCCCAGAATTCCACAGCCAGCATTGCTGGCTGTGGAATTCTAGGAGTTGAAGTCCACATGCCTTAAAATTGTCAAGGTTAAGAAACACTGCTTTAGCACATGTTTTATTTTGTGACAGTTTCAGAATACAAAAGGTTTAACATTGGAAAATGTTAAGCTCCGTATCGGAATTGCCAGGAATAATTTCTTCAGGCAGGATCACCATATGAAATTTTAAATTTTAAAAAATGGTAAAGAAAATGAAAAACTTTAACCCTTAAGAAATTTTATACAACAGCCCAATTTTTTTTTTTGTAAAATTTGGCTATCATGTAAGAATGACGTAGTAGCTATATTAATTCTAGATGGATGCCACTAACCCCTCAAAATTGTATGAATTGGTTGAAGTAAACCCCAAAAGATCACAATCCAGAAACCAAAAAAGCATTTCATTTCCTTTTATTTCAATAACAGTTAAAAGACATGTTTGTATCCTTTTCACTGATATCAGTAGAACATTAAACATAGGTATTTAAAAGCATTATAACATGTTTAACCCACCTACTAAGTGCAAATTCAATTGTTTAAATTTGAAAACCAAGAAAAAATGGAGGTTACATGCTAAAGCTGCATGAAAGAGAAGTAACTTGTTTTCAGCTATGATCTTTTTTCTTAAATGTTTAATCTATTTCTACTTCTGCTCAATCATGAGTCTCAACAGGTGGTGAGAGCTGGTCATTAAATTTCATTTTTAAATTTATCTTGCCTCATTCTTGTTGTTTTACGAAATGAGAAAAAGCATGCAGCCATGCTAGTTTTAGCAGAGAAAAGCCAAGGTATATAACTGAGTTGGCACAATATGCACTATATATCTTCCTCCAACCCTTTTATGTAATTCAGACCATGTTAAATTATCATTATGACAAATATGTATTTTTTACCATAGCTTTCTAGTGTAACCATTGGCGCTCTGGTGGCATTCAAGTATTCTCTGCCAATTTATTATGCAACCCTATTTTGCACTGTAGCTGTATTAAAGCTACAATTTTTCGAACAGCATCTGGAGTAATAGTTTATTTACACACAAACCTCATATAAACTGACAAGAAAAACAGCAGATTGGAGGCTTTGTTACACATAAGCAAATGTATCCCTTCAACTGGCTCCAGGGCAGAACTGAGAATACCGAAGACAGAAAATGAAAAATTGTATTGCTTTGGAATTCTGCTAGTTTGGATTTTTTTTAGCTTGTACAGTGAGCTTTCTTTGCAGACGGAAATTTAAATGATGTTATATTTCATGATTTCTAAAGGTGGAAGGAAATAAAATTCCTAACGCAAGCTATCCTAACATTTCTCCAGTAAGTGCAGTAAAATACTAGAATAACTTACGATATTGTTTGTGCTATGGCTCCAGCTATGCCACCACACAGCAAATTTACATGAGTTTTCAAAACTAAGACATCAGGATTATCTAAGCAAGGCCTCCCGAGCAGGGTAGGCGCTTGAGCAAGTCCCACACTCTTTAAGGTACCAAAGGTAAAAAATGAGAAACCTGAAAGGAAAAAATTTATCTTTAATGGAAACATTACCTCAACAACAAACTGCATAGATGTTATAGGCACAATTCAGCCAAAGAATGAGCTTATTTAAATCTAACAGTAGTGCATGTGCCAAGCTCTGTTCCATTATATATCCATTAATTTTAAGTGCTAAATTTTAGTTCGATCATCAAATATACCATGACATTGTCTCCATTTTTTCAGACTTCATTTTTGTTGATCACTTAGAGCAGACAGTCCTGATATATTCTGGTATATGGGCAACAAAATTACTTGAACGTTACAGATTGCCAGAAAAACCTAACAATCCTCACAAATGAATGCACTGTGCCCTATATTGGAAAGTAATCAGAAAAAGAATCCTTTTAAAAAAGCTCCTGTGTTACAGTAATTCTCTTTCTTTACATAATATTGTCCTGGTCTTTACCATTATCTTGGACATTACGTTCTTACAATAAACTTCTGATCCACAGAGTACTAAAATGTGGCTGCAATAAAAATGAAAGTTTTTAAAAAACAAAAACAATTTGAAACAGCATTTATGATTAAAATCAAAGAAACAGAATAATCTAAGCAACAGTAAACCAAGAGGACTTAAGATGCTTTACAGAAACACTGAACGTATTACACAACTTAGTGCTGAGCTAAACCTCTGGGATTTAATTAATGAGTTATTAGCAAAGTTGAAAAAAGAACGTATCTACATCCCTCAATCATAACGGGTTCAAAATGCAATCCCAAACCAGAATTTCAACATTTAAACTAATTAAAACATAATCAGAGTTAGAACTTAAATGAAAATCAACATTTTGTTTATTGGATTTGGGTTGTGACTTCTACCGCAACTGACAAAAAAATCCAACTAGGAACAACCCAAGCCATCGTGTTGTGGGAATTCTGAAGACTGTGTCCACATGCATTTTTAAAAAAAGGAAATTGATGTCCTTTAAGAAAAGAAAAAAGAAAAAAAATGATATAGTTTTCAGCCAATAGTTTTCAGTCTATCCTTTAGATTAGACAGAATCTACCCCATTAGGGGAGGGAGAAAGGAGACACGGAAATATTTAGAAGTCATAGTCAAGATTAAAGAATTTTTGACCAAAGATTCACATAATATATCAGAATTGCATTATTTAGGCAAAGAGATTACGCCTATAAATATCTAGAATCATGGATCTCAAAAAGCAAATAACTTAATCACTTTATCACTTAAATGTTATGATTTACTTATTTATGCAGATGTTGGGACATAAGTATATAATGGAGGCAACTGCAATGATGACACTATAGAGAGCACCATTGTGACATCATCACATACTGCAGAAACTGTTGTCTTCAGTAAGGATAAGTAAGTCAAGAGTATTGCTAAAAAATCATGTAGTTATTTTAAATGTCACTTCTATTTTCATTTTTTTAAATATGGACATCTGCAGTTAGAGTCAACAGTAGAAATCAAATCAACAGTAGATGACTTTCAATTTATTGAACTGCCTGAATTGAGAGCACCTCCAACAGATTCTTCTAGAAATGTTGGAAAAGACAACAGAAAGGTAAATCATCATGCACTATGAGCAAACTTCATTTCTAGCAGTTTCTTTTTTTAATTGTTCATGTGCAAAAAGTATTTTTTTTATTTTAAAGGAAGCAAAGGAAACAGTTTTCAAATCAAAATTAAACCTAAAGAGGTTCACCAAAAAACAATCATGTTCAAGTTCTACTCACCCGCATATGGAGCCATTCCGACTATTGTTGGCATAAGTCCACGATAAAATCCTTGCATACCACCTTCCTTTGGCAAAAGCCAATAACAGCAAGAAAACAGAAAAATAAATAAATTTAGGAGAATTGCACGTTTGAGTACAGGAAAGTTTTGAAAAGAATGCTCTAATTTTCATTTTTTTCATATACTATATTCTAGGGCTTTGCAAATTATTTGAAAGAGATGTCCTACAATGCAACTTGTTAAAATCAGCTCTTTTAAAGTTTAAGACACTGGTTGGATTATATTCTATTGCTTGTGTTTGCATTGTATTGAATTCTAGTATGATGTGGTCACTCTCGCCCAAGGTTCCGGCAACTTCAACTCCCTCTATCGCTTCTTCTCTATTAGTAAGAATTAGGTCCAGTATAGTTTTTCCTGTAGTTCCCTCCTCTACCTTTTAGATGACAAAGTTGTCAGCTAAATCAGTTGGGAATCTGTTTGATCTCCCATTTGCTGCAGAGTTTGCCTCTCAGTTGATATCAGGGTAATTAATGTCCCCCATTACTACTGTGGTATGTTTCCTACATACATTTGTTAATTGATTAGCAGAGAGTTCCTGTATTTCTTCTGCTTGGTTGAGTGGTCTATAGCAATGTCATTTTTCCCCCTTTTATATTGATCCATACGGATTCTAAGAGGTTTTCATCTTGGTTTTGTGTATTTCTGTAGAGATGTAGTGATCTTTTATATATATAATGCAACTCCACCTGTTTTGTTAGGTCTGCTTCTTCCTTTGAAAAGTTTATATCCTTCCATCAGTACATTCCAGTACATTCATGAGTTTCATCCCACCAAGTTTCAGTAATGGCAATTATATAATAGCTGCCTTCATGTACTAGTCAAGTTCATCCTGTTTGTTCCCTAAACTTGGAGAGTTAGTGTATAGACATTTGAGTCCTTTATTGGTCTTGGGTATGTTTCTTATATCTCTTACTCTGTAACTGGGATTTACATCCATCACTCCCTAGTTCATTATGTTTTTCTCTTTTTTTTCTTTTACTCTTTATTCCCTTCCTCATGTGATTGGTTATCTAGTGGTTTTTGCTTGGAATTAGGTTCTGTAGGTCATAAAGATTGGCCCCCCCTCCCTCCTTAATTTTAGTTTAAAGCTTCTTTGATAAGATGAGTCAGTCGTTTTTTGAATGTATTGTTTCCACTTCTTGTGAGGTATAGTCCATCCATTTCCAGTAGCCCTTCATGTAGTTAATGGAGACCATGGTCTAGGAACCGAAGTTCTGTTGACGACACCAGTTTTTAAGCCAATGGTTTGTTTCTAAAATCCTTTGCTCCCTCATTGGATGTTTGCCTTTGTTTGAAGTATAGATGAAAACTTTACTTGTGCTCCTAATTCTTTAACTTTCTTCCCTGGCTGTTCATAATCTTTTGTTATTGTTTTCAGATTCATTGTTGTGTCATTGGTCCCAACATGTAGGAGAAGAAAGGGGCAGTAATCCATGGGGTTGATTATTTTAGTAAGATACTCAGTTACATCTTGATTTTTGTTCCAGGGAGACTATGTACCTCCCTAGATTGACCGCCTGGTCTGCAGACTATAGTTTCTGTTCCCCTAACAACTGAATTTCCTATCACCCATATTCGCCTTTTTTTTCTAGAGAAGTCTGAAATATGTTTCTTCCTGTCGCAGGAATGTTGGGTTGTGCCTCTTTTTTAGAAACTATTGATGAATGCTTTTCTGTGAGCGTCTGTATATTTGTCTTCTCCTTTCCATTTTCCCTCTTTTCTAATATCTAGAGAGCACATAGTGTCCAAATTAGATACACTACAAGTGTATCTTGGTCAGCAACTATTTCTGCGATCTTTCACACTCTCCCCGATTCATGTAGACCTCTCACATACCCCCTTATATCACCAACCCCCATGGTATCTCTCATGCACCCCCTACACCCTCACCCACCTATATGGTGCCTTTTATGCACCCTCACTGACTCTTCCTTGGATCCTCCCTGCACCTCGTCTGTCTCTCATGCATTGGCCCCGCCCCGCCCCTGCCACCTCCATGCATTCCCTTCGCTCCCTCCCCACCCAGCAACAGCCACTTACCTACCTTCAAGCCTGGGACTTACAACTTCCTGCAAGCTTCCTTTCGTTGTGGGAAGCTGGCAGGACATTGCCTTGCCCAGTAGCTTTGGAATTCAGTTAACAATGGCAACCAAAACTATAGGGATCCCACTCGCTAAGTGATGTGGTCATGCTTTACGGCCAAATCAGCAACAGAAATTCTAGTCCCAACTGCTATAAGTTGAGGATTATCTGTACTATTACTGTTAACTACAATTTTATTCAAAATCAGGGATAAAGGCTTAATGCAAACTGTGGCGGGGACTTGTCTATGAATCTGTTTCTGTGTAACCAATGAGCAGAGCATGATTTATTTTACAACAGAAATGAGGCACTCTTTCTCATCTTAGTTCCTCACCCCTAAAACAAAAGTAATACTGGTAGCATCTACAAGGGATAAAGACAGTAATAAAATGAACTAGGTAAAGCAGACAAGTGTTGTAGATACAGCAATGCTTAACATTTTGTGAGCCCATTTGAATTTTCAACATTTCTACATAGACACAACCTAAAATACAATTTGTTCTCCTAAAACTAGAACCCAATTGAACAAATGAGTCAGAAACATTATACTTGTTCACTGATTTGCTGAGAAAAATTATCCAGAGCTATAGAGGCAGAGACCTAATTTTTTAAAGTAAGCATTAAGCAACGTTTGGGTCCCTTAGATTGTGTAAGCCTGGGGGTGTCAAACTGCCAGCCTACGGGCCGGATATGTCATGCCGAAACCGCGCCTACTGCATTGCTGGCATTGGAAAAAAAGTTGTGATACATCGCGACATGTCACGTGACGTTGCGAGTTTGACACCTCTGGTGTAAGCAGAACATGTTTTTGAAGAAAAGAAAAATCAAGCAATGTTTAATAATCAATCCCAGTGATGGTTTATCATTCATATTTTTAAGACTTACTAACTGCAACAGCATAAAGAGTGGGAAAATAAAAACAAAGGTTTTATTTCATTGCTAGTACCACAAATTGTTTTGGCTGAAAAATCTTATGATGAGGGACACATTTGTTCAAATCTGGTCAGCAATTTTATGAAGCATCAGTTTTTCAAAGGGGCTACTGATTTGCCATATGCTATTTTTCCAACTGATTTCTTTGAACTAGGTATTACTGCTTTATTTTGTAAATTCTGTAAATAGCATAGGTAATTGATAAAAAAAAATTAAGAACTTCTTTGATTTGGTTTAGTCAGACAATATTCTCCTTTCATTAAAAATATACACATTTCATCAAGTGCTCATAAACCACCAATTGGGATAGGAGAAACATTAAACCAAGGGTCTTCAAACTTGGCCCTTTTATGAGTTATGGACTTCAATTCTCAGAATTCCTCAGCCAGCATGCCTGGCTAAGGAATTCTGGGAGTTGAAGTCCACAAGTCATAAAAGGGCCAGGTTTGAAGACCCCTGCATTAAACAGAAGAGCAGCTTTATTATTCTTATTTGCTACCCTTATAAATACACTGAGCTTGCAAATTCATTTTTCTTGCTCAGTTTTCAATTTTCTGCTGAGAACTATTACAGAATATAAACAGGTATTTGTAAAGCCATAATATTGAAGAAAAGCAAAGACAATTACCTTGGTGTAAATGGTCTTGAATGCATGAATAATTCCCCTGTACTTATGATCCCCTTTTACTTGGAATGCCAGCCGTGCTCTCACCATATCAAGGGGGTATGTACAGATCACTGCTGTTATACCTTCCAAAAATTAATAATAATTAAAAAATCAGCATACACCCAAGTCTAAAAGGCTTTAGAAAATTGATTTTTACCTCTATTTATTATAGGCATAAGAATGATGGAAGCAATACATTAAAATTAAGTGGTCAATCTATAGGGATAGTATATAGAACCTTGAAGGATCAGATGATTTAGATTGCTTGCAAAAATTACACTCCATGTTGCTGAAATCAGTAACCTAACAAAAGGATGGTAATTTTTAAAGTATTCTTTCTTAAACATACTTTAAGAAAAAAAAAGTTAGCATAATGATGTGGGGAATAAGTGTTCAGTATCTTTTTCTATTTTGCATTTGGAAAGCTTAAATTCTTTTATTCTTGAAATGCCTTTAGAAAGTGATGGGGGATGAGAAGCTTATGTTTTAAATAATTGAAATTAAGCTTCCCCCCCCCCTTCAACCTTTTTATTCCCTTAAAGGAAACTGAAAGGCAATTATCTACCAATGGAGTGTTATTACTCAGATTTGAATTACACAAGGCACAGGAAATCCAAAGTTGAAAGTTCACACCATAAAGTTTTACCTTTGCCAATCCCAACAGACGCATCACAATAGACTTTTCAAGGCATTTTCCTCAGATTATTCTTAAACTCAGTGCCTTCTGTAATCTATGTGTGGTCTTGCAAGCACTTAGAAATCTTATTTCCAACATTTCTCAACTCCCTTAAAGTGCAAAATTATATTAGCACCACAGATCAAATTCATCATAGAAGGTAGAAAGGTATTTCAATGGATTTTTCATTCTCCATACAACACTTTGTGCTCATTTGTTCTTACACTATTCCTATAAATATGGAGACATTCCACATATTTATTATGTGGCATGGTATTTACCATTTGTTCTAGATATATTCTGTCATCACTTTATTGGCAATTAAACATTCTTTTGCAATAGCTTCCATTTCTTCCCCCCTCTTGCTTATTTTCTTATTTCTTTTCTATACACTTCAATAAGCAAAAGCACTGTAACATTTCATAAAACCATTATTTTGTGCTAGATTTTCACATGCTGTAAAAAAGTTACTATGGCCAACAATTTCCATCCAAAGTATGGAAGTATAATCACAATGTATGTGGTTCATCTGAAAAATGTTCACACCGATATCTATGAATAGTGTAGAGACATTTCTCACTTTTAATAAAAGAATTTGTGTACTGACTAAAATACATTACTTGACAGACAAGCTTAGAATAAAAGAAGTATTACTTCATGCAACACACTAACAATGTGGCACAGGCACGTATCGTGAGCACTATCTTTTTAAACAATCAAACCAGGAATCTAGTTTGATCATTTTAGTAGCTATAGTAATCATAGGTGAAATCTGCTTAAGTAAATGCAATCTATCTCTGATTAGAACATGAAAATTTTAACTCAGTTGTTTTGTTCTTTGAGCTTCCAAAAGAGTGCAAGTAGCCACTAATGAAAACTATTTCATTTTTGATAAACTACAAGTAGTCCTCAAGTTATGACAGCAATTGGGACCAGAATTCCCATTGTTAATCAATGCAGTCGTACAGCACAACATCAAGTGATCACATCGCTTATCAATGACAATCTGAACAGTCCCATCTGCAATCATAACCACAGGACATGAGGGCTATTAAGTGAGAACAGTGAATGTCCCAGGCAAGGAGTGTGGGGGGGGAGAGTGTTGGTGCCATGGGCAGGCGCTACAAAGACCTGGAGGGCAGAGGGGTACTGTGGGCCACACACCCTATGGAGCATGGGCAAGCAAGAGGTGCTACAGAGTATTAGATCCCTGGATCTTATGCTCCAAAGCAAAGCTCCTCGAGAGAAAAGCAGTGGGAGCAACTTATAGGAATGACGTGCAACCATCCCTGTCAGCTTCCCAATGGATTTGCATGATAGAAGCTAACAAGGAAGGTCTGGTGTTCAGGTGACCGTGGGACACTGCAACCATCATAACCACCAGGTGGTTAATTGCAATCACATGACCCCAGGGATGTGCGACAGCCAGAATTTTGAGGACCGGTCATTAGGTGCCACTCATTCTACAGCATCCTAAGTTTAAACGGTCAATACATTAGTCATAACTTGAAAAATACCTGTCCCCCACCTAGCTGTAGCAAATGGAAAGAAACCAGAAACTCTCAAGCCCTAGTATCAGTCTTCAAAATCGTTTACAAGGTTGTTTCTGGAGATCTTTTTTACTTTTTATCTGATTAAAACAAACTTTAAGGCTGGGGTTTAATAAATTAAAAACCACAATTGTAGATATTATAGAAAAGGATACATATACACTGAGAAAAAAAGAGAATAAAGAGGAATACCTGCTAAGGATCCAGCCATTAACCGATGAATATGACTAGAAATGCCAAGCCTGTTCTTTATCACCTACAAAATGATTACATTTGAAGTGTGGAAAAAACTCTTAACATACCAAAGATAAAGTTCATTACTCTTCACCATATGCCATAACAATTTTTTAAATAATCACACTAAACCCAACATTCTTTTTGTTAGCTGCTCTAAGGCATGATTTTACAGAAAAGTAAGTAAAGGTCCTGTAAACAATGTTAAGTAATAAATCATGATTATACACTAACAAACCAGTAACAGAACATATTATGGCTTAGTCTTAGAAACATCTGAAAATTAAGCTTCAATATGAGTGGTTATTAAATGCATGACACATAAATACATTACTGGAAATAAATCATACTGACTTCATTTCATGTCAATGAAAGTTAAAAGCAGATGAAATAAAATCTGATCATTTTTGTACTGCCTCTCCTGCTGATTTCTGGAATAACACCACTTAAACACCACTCTGTGAGGCCAGTATTATATAGTATGGAACAAGTTGTATGTCTGGTTGGAGACTAGAATTAATAGAGGAGAATAAATATGGAAAGGTCAAAAGTGAAAATATGTGTATAATAATGTATAATAATAATAATATGAATTATTCTTAGTAAGAAGTAGAACATGAAGGAAGAAAAATGTAAATAAGAAATAACGGGGCTATAAGGACAAATATTCTAAAGAAGAATAAGGGGGAAATGTAAATATTAGATTACCGTTATGTAATTGCTGTAAAAAAAGGAGTGTGTGTGTGTGTGTGTGTGTATGTGTATATATATATATATATATATATATATATATATATATATATATATATATATATATATATATATATATTGTGTGTATGTGTGTTATGTTTTGTTTTGTTCTGTTTTGTCTGGTTGGTTAAAAATAAAAATTAAAAAAAAAACCTCTGTGAGGCCCTCAACCTCAAAAGATTGTTCTCTCCTGATACATAAATACAAGTCAAGAAATCATGATTTATTTCAAGACAGTATAGGAGTTTGCTCTTGGGTTTTCTTCTTGAAAACAAAGGTACTGTGGAAAGCATTAGACTTCTGTCCCTCCACACTAAAAGTTGTGATTCTGAGCTAGGATGTCAGCTGAAAACAAGGAGTCCTGGAATATCCTCCCACAGAATTAATGAAACAGAGTTGGCCCACTGTCAAGTACATCATTTTCTATGGAAGAATGTTCCTATCTAAATAAACCCATAATCATTGCTCCGCTATTCTTCCTTTGTTTTAATAGAATTCAGCAAGATAGAACTCTCGGTAAATCACATAGAACCTACAAATATAAAAATATGTATTTACAAGTATTTAGATTAATTAAACAGGTTTAAAATCTTTTTTTACAAGCAAAAGCACTGGCATTTTCCTTCCCACGTACATAAAGAATCTGGCTGCTTAATTCTGTCAAAAAAGTTTTAATGATATATAATGTCAATTTTGAAGTTTGAAACCACTTTATACCACATAGATGAAACAAGAAGACACGGGTTATTTACCTTTTTATACTGACCAAATGCTGTAAACTGAATTGCACCGTATGGAAAGATTCGAATCATCATGGCTCCGTTTCCTTTATAGTATCCTAAGAAGCCTTCTTTCTTTGGCACAGCGCATAGTGTAGAAATCACACCTGTCAGCGTTGCAAAGCAGACTAATGTGTTACCATTTTCATCTCAGCATTTTAAATTGCTCACTTATGAGAACTATTCTATAAATCTAGAAAACTCTGTCAAAACTATAAGTCCGTTGTATGTGACTATGGCGCAAATACAGGTATTTAAAACAATTACAGGATTACCAGGTATTTCAAGTCTTGCCACACGGCATATATAGCCCAACTTTTGAGCAATGTACATAAATAATGAAGAATATTAAACACTCTGCTGAAGCATGATAAAATGCATTGTAAAAAGAATAATTATATATGATGTCGTATAATGACCTGCATTTCAAAACCAGTACATGCCAGTACGTGAAAAGTGTAGGTGCTAGGAAAAAACTAACATCTTTTTATCACAGTTAAAACTGATACAGTATATTTTAATCTTCTGCTGCTAGTATGTTTAATAAATCTGAGGTATGTATGGAATAAAAGAAAATGCAAAATGTACAAAAAGTGTGTACTAAAGCTTCAGGAAGTCAATCCAGTTTAGAAATTAGGGTGAGAATCGGTTATCTAAAAAAGCATCAGTGCTCTTAAAGAGAAGGTATATGAGAAAGCTAAACTTTTACACTGCAATTCCTAATAAATTGATAATGTATAAACAAAAACATGATTTAATTATACTATTGTTTGACAAATTAACTAATCTTAATTGTGATCACTATTCTACTTTTAGAAAAAACTGCTACTGTAGAATTGAAAGTACATAACATGAAAAAGTTATCCCATATCTTTGCTTATGTGTTTGATAGCCTCAGCTAGGTCTAAATTTTATACAAACACTGGATTTACATCTTAATTAATTCATAATGTGGTCTGCTTTGTTTGGCAAAGCATGTTGTATAAATCTAAACACTGTGGCTTGTAGCTCATGACACAATCATAAGCAACTTTCTGGTGATTGGAGAGGCAGAGTGATGTGGCAGTAATGACAAATGAGTAGAGCCAAGTCTCACATATGAGTGGATCAATCAAGGATGTTTGTTTTTTTCTGTCTTTAGTGAGAACTTCAAACTTTTGTGAGATTTTGTTTTTCCTTGCTTTACACTATGTTAAGCAATATTTAATATAGTAGTACTAATTTGAGATTATCACAAAGTGGCAAAAAACAATTATTTGCTGATTGTCAACAAATGAGTCTACAGAGAGCAATATGAGGAAGCAATATGATAGCCATTGCTGGGTTTCCACACCATGCTATTTCAATAAAAAATAATTAAAACAAATGATGGCTTAGTATAAGCAGCACAGTCTATAGTTCTTACAAGTCACATTTCACAAAAGTCTGAATTATGCAAAATCTACTCTGAAGTCAGAAAGAGAAGTTTTATTTCCTAAATTCCATATTTTATATTCACTATGAAGTTTTCCATAACAAGAAATCAATCATGGCTAAAAAAAACCTACTTAGCATGTTTTCAAAAACTGAAGTGGCAGACTTAGAACAGGGGTCCCCAACCCCCGGTCCATGGACTGGTACCGGGCCGCGGCATGCCAGCAACCGGTCTGCACAGAGAAGCAAAGCCCCATCTGTGGGATGCTGGCAGCACACAAAACCACACACTCTCCGGTCTGTGGAAAAACCTTTCTCCATGGAACCAGTCCTTCGTGCCCCAAAGATTGGGGACCTCTGACTTAGAAGACCAGGAAAAATGTGAAGTGATTTGAGGTAGAAAAGTGAGTTTAATCCTAATGAAGTGCTCCCTTAACCTGAGGAAGTCAAAGAACAATTGAAAATAAAGTTATTTTTCAAATGGAGAGCAAACAACAAGCTGACCGAAAAAACTCTGAATAAGACCAAAAAGAGCAAGTGATTTAATAATTTACATGCGGTCTTTAAAACCAATGTTCTCCTTTGGACTGCTGCTTAGAAAGCATTTAAAAAGCCAATTACCTAAATAATTTAACCTAAAAATAGTAGAATCAGAAAGAATCCATTCTTCTTCTTTTTGTGCCATATCCGTTATCAGATGTTGGCGATCGTGATGGCGATCCTGTTTTTATCAGCAGCCGCACGAAAAAATGCTGCTGAGTTTTGTCCAAACGAGTCCCTTAGATTTTGAAGCCAGAATGTTCTTCTGCCTGGACCTCATTTGCCTTCAATCTTTCCCTGGAGGATTAAATGGAGTATGCTGTATTTTTCTGGGTGTCGCATCACATGTCCAAAATATTCTAATTTTTGTTTTTTAATTGTTTTGATGATTTCCCTTGCCATTCACAGGCAGCTTATCACCTCATTTCTGATATTGCCAACCCAGCTTATACATAATAGCCGCCTGTAAATCCACATTTCAAATGCTTCTAGTCTCTTCAGGTGGCCTTCTGTTAGAGACCAACTCTCTACTCCATAGAGCAGGATAGAAAAAATATAGCATCTGACAAGCCTGATTTTCAGTCTTAGGCTTATGTCGTGACTGCAGAAGACCTTTTTCATTTTGAAGAATGCTGTTCAAGCATCGATGTTCTCCAGTGCCTCATTGAAATTCAATCGTAATGTGCTCATAAAATAATTTAAGACCTAACATACAAATAAAACAGTATGTACAAGAAAATTAAATGTAGACAACCATCTCTCATCTCATCAACTCATCTCTCACACAGAAGTTATATTTAGCCTCCACTTTGAATGTGGCAAATTTAGGAGATTTAGAATTTTGAAAAATATATTATCAGATGAAGGAAATACTTGAATAAAGATAAATGAGAAAAGCTATTTAAAGAGATAAGCCAGCATCCCACCAGAAACTGCTAAAATACACAATTCTTAGTTGTTTTAGCCAGCGTTGCCAATGCTATCAGTTGCTGAGAACTGCCAGTTCAGCAACAATATTGGGATGATTCCCCATCATATTTTTCCATAAATACTTTTGATTCTACTAGCATATGCATGTACAGTTAGTCCTCGACTTACAACCTTTTGTTAGGTAACCATTCAAAGTCACATCACTGAAAAAAGTGATTTATGACTGGTTTTCACACTTAGACCATTGTAGCATCCCCATAATCACTTGATCAAAATCCAGGCATTTGGAAACTGGCATGTCTATATGACAGCAGCATTGTCCTGTGATCATATTTATAACCTTCCTGGCCGGCTTTTGATAAGTAGTGGGGGAAAGCAGATTCACTTAACAACTTCATGATTCACTTAATGCAGTGATTCACTTAAATGTGACAAAAAGGTCATAAAATGGGACACAACTCACTTAGCTGTCTTGCTTAGCAACAGAAATTTTAGGCTCAGTTGTGGTTGTAAGTTAAAGACTATCTGTATTTTCCAAGGTTGACATTAGCATACTGCATGAACATAAATCATGATATCCTTAAGAATGTATATGTATGTTAAATGTATTAATAGCAGAAAGAATTGCATTTATTTAGTGTTTGAAAAGTGAAGAATACCATTTGAAGAAGGGATTAAGAAAATACCAGAATGTGTAGAAACTGACAAGGGCGATATTGAAGGACAAAGAAAAAGACATAGAATAATTTTAATATGTATAATGAACCCAGACAAGAGTTTACTAAGCACCTATGATTTGTAAAAATAGAAAATCAATAACTCTATTAAAAAAACAGAATGTCATTGCTTGACCTATCTCTTCTAACTGTGATTCTAGCAAAAGTAAAAACAATATTGCTTGAACTTGCTTCAATCCCAGCACACACATGCTATATGTGAAAAAATCCCCAAAGTGCTCACAGTTCAGAATCACTGATGACAATTCAAAAGAACTCTCCTTGTATTTTTTCCATGGATACAATCAGGTGTATTATCCAATGCTCTTCTCCTCTCTGATTACCATTACATAAATTTTATGTTGATGCCATCACTAGGTTACTCGTATCACCATCGGGTTTGCACCAGTTACCCAAATCTCCCGCTCTCCATAGTTCATTGTTTTCAATATTTCTGTAAACCAGAGTGTGCTAGAAGCTCCAACCAAGATAGAGCCATTTATGAGCCACCTTATCAAGTGCTCAGAAAATTTCAGTGGAATTGAAGAACGTTTCCCACAGCTGCCTGGAATCCAGAAAAATTCATCATCCTCCATAGATAGGTCAATTTAATTTGGTGTCTGCCTTAGCTGAAGGAAATATACTGCATCAGTCCAAACTCTGTTAGACAGAATCCATGGAAATATTCTCTTTTCTGGAACCAAAGGCACAGATCACTGTGTTCCAAGACAAAAGTCAAGTCGAGGATATGATCTGCCTCAAGGATAGTTTCCAAAATGATCTCCATGAAGCCTCTGTATGCCACAAAATCCTGATGCAGACCTTTAAAGTAGCTTCACCATTAATGTTGACATCCCTGAAGACCAAAATTCTCACCTCTGAAACCACATTCATCAACTCGGTCAGGGATTCTGTAGAACAGTGATACAATCCAATATACCCAACAAAATCCTGTCTTATATAACTTGAGAAGAAAGGTAATTTCTATATGGGCTACTGCAATATTTCCTCTTTAATCAATAGGTTTGCACTAAATCCCTTGATGTTATTTTTAATTAAAAGACCAACTTGGCATTCAACAGAAGTTTCATCAACATTTGTGATAATGCACATAATCTAATTATAAAGGTAGAATAGCAAGGGCAAAATAAATTCTCACATCCACAATTTAGGAATTTTGACTTAATTTTAAATTTAGAATGAATATCTGATGTGATTTTAATGGCTTATATTTGCTGTTATTTGCTGAGCTATTGTGAACAATAGCAGCTCTATAATAAAGTACAGGTACAAAAATGGTTGTAAAAGATTAAGAAATGCTTAATCAAACAAATGCTTAATTAAACAAAAATGTTCCAAAACATTAGAAGACTGAACACTATTGTTATGTATTCAAAGTTCCAACCAACAATATTTAGAAAATCATTTGTACTTATTCAAAAACCAGAAAGAGAACTTAACCATAATTTTTGTTCCAATACAGCTTACAACTTAGAATTTAACTTTAAAATCGTATAGAAAAGCAGGTCTAAACACATTAATAAGTTCAATTGATATATCTGAATTATTGCAATTACACAAGAAATCCACTTTCTTTACCAATTATAAAAATCACACATTATAAGCAATAATATTAAATCCCATAATATGTATTTTCTTACCTAGATGTTTGTAATGATGATTGTGAGCCTGCAACAAAATCTTTACTCGATCCAATGGTGCAATGGTTGACTTGGCACAACATCCTGCCACACCTTTCCAACAAGCAAAAATAGTACTATTTACTAACTACCAGACATTTAGCAAGAGTTATTTTTAAACTTTTATCTTTTCAAGGTTCATCATGCAACAGGTAAGCATTGCTTTCTCAGTCAACAATTATAATGTCTGAAAAAAAAATCCTTTTATTTCTCAATTTCTGATGAAGCAGAAAGCACACTGAGAAAAGTAAGAAATCATAAGAACGCCTTTGATATTTCTAAAATCTAAAAGGACCTTTCATAGACAAAAGTTTTTTAAAGATGTCTGTGGAGATTCTCATTCATCCAGGCCATTGTTCTGGCCAGAACCGATGAAGCTTTTTGGATGAGAAGCGAAGCATTTACAAGGAAAAAACTAAAGAAGTCCAGTTGCCTTTTGAAAAGCACTTTGGGGAAGTTTTCTAAAGAAATCTTAGAGGCTGACTCAGAGTTATTGAGAAATGGGCAGCATACAAATTTAATAAATTATGACTATCAGAGAATATGAGAATTTAACATCTAACGTGTTGTGTTTAACATTTAAGAGTTTCATTCAGGAAATTCCTAATTCAAGTCTTACCTCAGTCTAGTAGATAAATTGGTCATCATTTTTCACATCTATTTTTAACAATATATTTAATCTATAGAAAGCAAATCTACAGTGCTATTTAAAAAATCATAGCCAAGTTTTGCTATCATAGCTATTAGAAGTGAAGAAGCAAAGGAAGGGTATTAGGGGGGGGGCTGACAATCCTATAGCTTTACTAGCTTTATAGAAAAAAAATCCTGTTTACTTTCCTGCATTTGTAAAGCAAGTACATTAGTAGTCTGCCTAACCTGAGTGTTATTACAAGCACAGTTCTTTGTGAACACAGCCGCACAGCATTCCTAAACATACTAAATACTAAAACAGCTTTTAGCTGAATCTGTCAGCTGTATAGAAACTCTTGAGAATCAGTCCCTTAAAGCCATAAAATCCTATAATTCATGAACTCCTATGACCTGACAGCCCTTCCTGAATTACAGTACTCAGGATTCCATGTCCTATTTTCTTTTGAAAAAATGTACAAAGATGATGAATCATCTGTATTTTTGCTGATCTAGACAGGAAGCAATTACAGGAGCTGGAATATTTTCTAGGATTTCATGTCTGCCCTTATTTTTGTAATAAGATTTTGGAACTGCCAATGCATCCCTCCAAAGGAAAAAATAAAATATCGTGGACATATAAGAAGCAATTCAGTTATAATGGTTAAGGTGCTGGCTAGAATCCATGGAATTGTAAATTCTAGGCCTCCATTAGGCATGAAACACAGTTGGGTGGCTATGGGCCAGATATTCTCTTGGCTAGGGCTACCAGACAGGGTCGTTGTTGCAGAAAAATAGAAGGCAGGAGTATGTTCACCACCTTGCATCATATGTGAAAAAGGGTAAGATATAAATATGTAAATATGAGAAAGAAAGCTTTTATGGAATTCCTATGTTTCAAACAACCATATAATACAGCAACATTTTTTCTTTCTTGCAACATAGTTATTTTTGGCTAAATCACAGTGCTGTACATTTTTTTCAAAAATCAATGGCTTTTTACTTTACCCAGGTCTCCCCTCAAGTTTTAAAAATCAGTACAAATGATGCAAGAGAGCCAGTTTTCGGTTTCTAGGCACTAGACTGAAAAACTGCGAGATGGTGAATTCTAGTCCCACTTTGAGCATCAAGACAGCTGGGTGACCTTGGGCAGGTCTCAGAAATGTCTCCTTTTCAGCCCAAGGAAGGAGGCAATGGCAAACCACTTCTGAACAACCCTGCCAAGAAAATAGCAGAGACTTGCCCAGGCGCCAGGAGTCAAGACTGACTTGAAGGGACACAAAAAAGAAAGAAACCCAAGTAAAAATGCATAATCCTGGCAGGACACTTTTTAGCTTTAATAATTCCCCAGTATGAACCATATCAGTATGTTGCTAGCTATTAATAAATCAGGAGAATGGACGCCCAACTTCCATTGCCCAGGGTCCAAGAATTATCTGAAATCGTTTAAGGGGCTATACAGCTTTTACTTAGGCATTATTCTTTCCCTACAACTTTTCATCAGACATTTTAATCCCTTTGGCTCTTCCTTTCTCTAGCGGCCCACGGACATTCTCCCCCATTTTCCGACCTAGGAAGGAGGCAGACGGGAACAGGTAACTTAAATGTGTAGGGTTTTATATAGGGGCGGGGGAAGCAAAGCTTTTCCAATATACCAATTCCAAACCCCATTTAGACGAGGGGGGAAAGGGCAGATTCTGGAGAGCAGCCCACGCAGCATTTCCTAAAAATAAGGAAAGGCAATCCTGCCGCCGCCTTGAAATTTAGCCACGGGGTTTTTTTTAAGTTTTAAGGGTCTGAAAACCATTTCTGAGCAAGAAACTTCAAGGACCAAGACCGAGCGAGGTCATCCCGGTTCGGCCGCCCTTCTCCCTCCGAGCCGCACCTGGCTCTCACCGCCGGCTTCCCCTCCGGACTCACCTCCGGCTACCAAGGAGCGCAGCCAGTAGAAATCTCGCTGGGTCGGAGACGAGGGCAACCGGGCGCCGGGTCCCGCGGCGGCGGCGGTGGCTTCCGTGGCCATGAAGCCGACAACTGGCTGGTCTTTCCCCAACACCAATTGTACGAGGGGGCGGCGGCAGAGCAGCTTCAGCCCATGCTATCGCCTCCAGCAGCACACGAGGCCGGGCGGGCTGGACCTCTCCGCCCAGCGAGCCCGGGAGGCGGAGCCGCCGCCGAGCTTCCTCGGCCCGTGGCGCCCGCTGATGACGTCATAGCCTCCCTGGGTCAGCAGCCCACCTACAAAGCAGCGTTTCTCAGCCGCGGCAACGGGAAGACGGGTGGATTCAATCTCAAGCACGCCGCAGCTTTTTCAGCGCTATTACCGAAGTGGTTGATGGATGACTTCTAAGCTAGGACTTCCTTGTGGTCTCCCATCCAAGCATCAGACTGCTAGACTTTTCAGCTCTTGAGCCCAGGCGGAGGCTGCCCCAATTGGAGGGTCAGGATGGATGGACGCATGATTTCACTTTCTGCCCACTGGACATAACTGCAGGCGGGTTACCAGACTTAAAGACAGTCTGACAGTTAAAACAGGAATAAAACAGTTGTACTGAGGAAAGGAAAGTGTTCTTCATTTAGGCCAGGGGTTCTCAATCTTGGCCACTTTAAGACTTGTGGACTTCAACTCCCAGAATTCCTCAGCCAGCTTTGCTGGCTGAGGAATTCTGGGAGTTGAAGTCCACAAGTCTTAAAAGTGGCCAAGGTTGAGAACCCCTGATTTAGGCAAAACAGTGGTACTGAGGAAAGGAAACTATTCATCATTTAGGCAAAACCCAATCTTAATGATGCTTATCATCCTATCCCAGGTCTTCAAGTTGCTTTGACAATCAGGCTGATTCAGGGTTATGTGGTTCTCTGAGGAGGGTATTTGTTCCAGATCTAACTGGGAAGGGAAGGATGGGTTCCTTGATTCTGTAGAGTGGGCTTCAAGGGCATTGCATGGGCAAGGACTCACCATTTTAATCAGCATCCATAGAGCAGAGCCCCAATCTTCATACTGACAACAGCCTCAAGTACAGTATTTATCATACAAGCCCCACCCCTTTTATTATGACATCACAACTTCTCCAAAAGGGGCAGAGTTTGTGGCACAAGACTACATTAATCACTTTGACAAAAACAGCAGCAGCTGAAAACACCTCAATTGACCCACCAGGTGGAATAATTCCAAGAGGTTGCCACTAGGGCAACTGTTTTTGACCCAAGTAAGCTAATTTACAGAATGTCTCCAAATCCAAGACTCATAACTCTCAAAGGAAGGGAATAAAATTTTGGAAAGTTGTGATTGGTTGAGTGTTGCTGGCTGTTTCTGAGCTGCTGCAGTGGTCACACTCATGATAAAGTAGTTTCCCAGCCAGTCTCCCAATGTCTTGCTCCCTCCCCCACCACTTACCTGCCTGCTGGGGAGGGGAAGGAAGAAAGCTTTCAGATTCTCCCTGGTAGATTCCCATGAGGAAACTCAGTGCAGAGGCTCTTGGGAAATTAAAAGTTGTTCCTGCTCCCACTGCTTTTTCCCCCACGCTTGGTCATTCTGTTTGTTTAGGTAAGGAAATATGCTACCTCTGAAATGACCCAATGAGACACAGATTGTCTAATGCTCTGTTAAATGTATTAGCTTCTTGATTGTTTCTAGTGAAATGAAAATCCCTCAATAATATCATTTATGTCTCTCTAGCCTTTGGAGATATGCATTAGTTTCCATCTAATTTTAACGAGAATAATTCCCATTTATATTTCTTCTAAGTGTGTATTTTGCTTATGGGTTGTTATGATGGTTTGAGCAATTTTTACTTCACGTTCCATGTGCATGAGAGGAAGAGCTAGTTTTTTAGAAGGAGCATCTAATTAACTTTTGTCGCTTCTCACGTCTTCATTTTCTTGGCTCTCATGGCATTTCCATTGTCAGCTATAGTGGCTAATAACAAACTCTGTAAACCAGGGGTCTTCAAACCTGGCCTTTTATGACTTGTGGACTTCAACTCCCAGAATTCCTCAGTCAGGCATGCTGGCTGAGGAATTCTGGGAACTGAGGTCCACAAGTCATAAAAGGGCCAAGTTTTAAGACCTCTGCTATAAACTCTGTATTGACAGCTGGGACCAGATAGACTGGAAAATACTAGAGTAGACCAAGAACGACGAATCAGGTGCTCATTGAATACAAAAGGGCTTTGGAAAGATTGGGAGAGGGTTCTTGAGTAATGAAATCAAATAAGTTGTAATGAGGCAGTATCTGTGTGTCAAAGAACTGAGGAAGGAAAGAGGTGAGGATGAAGGTAGAGAAGAATCAAAAAGGTTGTAACACTGAAAGCCGAGTGACTCAGCTAAGCATGCAGCATACCAGAGTTGATTTTAACCATGTGCAGGATACTCTTGAAGCTAGGACAGCCTAGAGCAGTGTTTCTCAACCTTGACAATTTTAAGGCATGTGGACTTCAACTCCCAGAATTCCACAGCCAGCAAAGCTGACTGTGGAATTCTGGGAGTTGAAGTCCACATGCCTTAAAATTGTCAAGGTTGAGAAACACTGGCCTAGAGAGAGAGGGGAGCCTGCCAGGATTCCTCTTGCTGATACAGTCACAGGAGACTTCATAGCAAAAACAACCTGAGCCTGATGTGGCAGAAGCTGAGCTATCACATCAGATTTCTCCCAGCAGAAGCCTGATGAGCTGGTGAAGTATCTGGTGATGAGGTGATGCCAGGTGATGCCAGGAAGCTTCTGTAAGTGAGTGGAACCGGTCCCTGGTGCCCAAAAGGTTGGGGACTTCTGATCTAGTCCAACCTCCTGCTCGGACAGAGACCCTAGTGTCAAGATTCCAACTGACGAACGCAACCAAGCAAACACCTTTGAGACATTCCAATCTCTTAATTCTGGGAGTTGAAGTCCACATGCCTTAAAATTGTCAAGGTTGAGAAACACTGTTGTAGAAAGACAGCACAACACAGGGAACAGCCAATAACAATTAAAACGTCAATATATAGCACCCCACAAAGTATGATAGACTTTGAATACATCACTTTGGCACTACTGAAAGCAAAACCAGCTCTGGCAAGACCTCTCCCAAACCCATATAGAAAAAGTGTTGAATTATCCCTCTTCCCTCTGAGTCAGGTCACGTTGCCCAATCAGGTGGAAAAATATTGTTATGAGAAAGCATCTCTAGGTCTGGTCAGACACCTGGTGTAATGTCCTTGAGTCTCACGGTCTGGCGTTTTAATCTTTGAAGTCTGCATTGTAAACTTCTCTCCTCCCCCCCTCCCCAAGTTCATTGGCAAGTTGAGAAGCAATATTTGTTGCACCAGCAAAACTGCTTCGAAACTTGACACCTAGACCATTTCAGACAAATGGCTGTCCAGTCTTTTTTTATATTTTATCCTTATTACTTTAGAGCAGGGGTAGGCAACCTCGGCTCTTTTATGACTCATGGACTTCAACTCCCAGAATTCCTGAGTCAGCATAGCTAAGGAGTTGAAGTCCATGAGTCATAAAAGAGCCGAGGTTGCCTACCCCTGCTTTAGAGCAACTCCAGGTGCCCAACATGCCTAATCCTCCTTCCTCCTCCCATTTTCCCCACAACAACAACCCTGCAAAGTCTCCCAATCTAAGGTAGAATTTGAACTCACTACCTCCCAGTCTTTTTTTCCCCCCACTCACTACACCAAGATGCCCAGCAGTATTGGCAGTCCAAGACAGCGGCGATCGTAGTTGTGAAGCAGCGATACTGCTCAGACATAACCAGCAAAACACCCCTAACTGCCCCCCCTGCAGCTGTCAGCCAGTCTCCTGCAAGTGGGGGGGGATCTATCACATTTTGTGCCTATGGAGTCTATCACTTTGTGTCTATCATACTTTGTGGGGTGCTATAGATTGATGTTTTAATTGTTACTGGCTGTTCCCTGTGTTGTGCTGTCTTTCTACAAAGATAAGAATTTGTGTGGACCTTGAGTCTAAGCTAGAACCTGGGATGCTGCTGACCCAGCAAATGCTCCATAGAATCAGACTGGAGCAAGCCTTAAACTCATTTCCAATTGTCAGAGGCTGGCAACAGTAGGAAACTGTTAATATAAATGGCTTCAGGCATTTCAATTGTATTTGACTGCTGGTAGTTCAGAGCAGGAAAAAAAAAAAGCAGCATCTTCAGTGTGTTTCCTTTGGCCACATGCTAGAGACAATTTACAATCCCTTTCAGTTTATAGAAAAGGCAGATCCACAAAAACTGCAAATAATAGTAGAAAAGTGCAATGCATATTTTATACCTTTGCAGAACATTCCTGGTACCAGCTGTATGGTTTTTCACTAGCAGTCATAGAGTAGACAAGAGTGTTGATTCATAGGTAATGGAATTAAAAAGGTTCTTATTAATATGTAAATTTGGACAAGTGCAGAGACAGCATGACTTCAGCCTGGATAAAGCAGTAGAAATAGCCAGACCAGAAGAAACTTTGATGCGAATGTTGGGAGTCTCCAGGAGCAAAATCCATGCTTTGTAAATTGATGAATATTCTCAGTAAACCAGGAAGAGTTGTCTGGAAGGTGTATGCTTTGTAAGTTAATTCAGCTTTAGGGCTGACGCCTTACCTATAGCCTTTGGGCTATAGAAATCCACTGATGCTCTTGCTAAGTCACCAGCTAGTAAGTTTCCAGCAGGAGTAATAAGGTACGGTAGTAAGGTCACATATAAGTGTTTTGAAAAAACTCAGCAATAAGAAATTGGCCAATGCTGGGTGGTGTGTGTTATAAAGGGCCTTGCACAAATCAGCTGGCAAAAATGTGTGGAACAAATAAAGTCTCAGCAGATAAAAAGAAATTAATATACGTGGGTTTTTTTTCTATATTCAAATGTCAGTATACCAATAAACTGAAACAATCCATGACATATACCAGTGTTTCTCAACCTTGGCAATTTTAAAGTGTGTGTACCTCAATTCCCAGAATTGCCCAGCATCCTGGCTGGGGAATTCTGGGAGTAGAAGTCCACACACTTTAAAACTGCCAGAGTTGAGAAACACTGATGTAAACTACAGCAGTGTCTGGAATACCAGTGCTATTAATGCAACCTAATGTTCTTCCTCAGCAGATAACAAAATTACAACTAAGTTGGTAGCAGGAGGCATTTCTTGGTGAAAATACTTGTGCTTAGGAGGGCATGTTTTAAATTGGTAAGTGTGTTTTGCAATTGCAAAACAGCCACAGGAGAACCT